ACCTGGTTTAAGGCTCCAGACCAAGATTGGTGTGACAGAACTCTGATTCTGCAAGTAACTCGTGGCTTGGTTCCCTTCTCTTGCCCAGGTTCACCAGGCAAGGACTGCTCTCCAGGGCTTTAGGGGATCTGTGATCGCCCACGTGCTCCATGGGGATCATGGAGGGCTCCCACTCCTGGCAGTGCCATCTCTGCTCCAGAGATGTCACACCGTGCTCTGCCCCCTGCTCCTGCCTCAGCCACTGGAGGCATCCCAAAAGATCATGATCTTTGGTATTTGCTATTTACAGCTTTGTTCCATGAATGCTGCAAATGTTGATCTGTTACACGGAAATCAAGGCCAGGAATAGAAAACTGCTGCTCAGCTTCATCTTTTTTCCTTCCTTTTCCCCTTTCTTCTTCTTTCTGCTTAAATCCCAGTGCTACAATTCTGTTTCATTGGTGTTTTTATCTCTCAAATTTTCATTAAAAATTAAAATCCTGTATCCCACCCAATGGCTTACTGCTGAGTGATATAGTGACCTATATTTAGCTCTCTTACACCATAAATCAAAGTGCTTCCTTCTTTTTTTGCACCTCTTCAAACATCTTTCCATTTTTTGACATTTTTCTTATACTGGAGTTATTTCAGGTTTGAACTGAGAGACACAGATCAGTTTAAGAAACAGATTAAATACAGTAATTTGTAGCTCATTTCTTTATCTGAAAACACAAATATAGTTACATTTTCTTAACATTTTCAAAATTCATGTCAGCAGCAAATTATTGAGTTACAAGCCTATACTCAGCCTCTTGCCTTTGACAAACCTAGGCAGGTATTACAAGAGAAAAAAAAAATACCAACTTCTCAGATAGTCTGTTTTAATTACTGTTTTATTACCCTGTGTATTCTTATACAGAAACACTTCATTTCTCTAATGACCTTTTCTGACATATTTAATGTCTTCATCAATATAAGAATGTTTATAAAAACATAAACATGTGTTTATAAAGGCAGAACTTGCCATGCTGCACTCAGACACGCATCAAACTAGAAATCCCCAGCATTTTAATCATACTTAGGAGCCCTATCCTGACACAAAGTAAGTCATATTCCAATTATCTGCCTGATTTGCACCCTCTGAAGCTTTTGCCCACTATTTCTATTCACATCTATGAAGAACACAACGTACAGCACACAACATTCATGAACAGCTGACAGAGATGCTGTTTTGCCCAAAACTGAAAAGGAAAGAGATGGCATGAAAGATCTCCACTATAGAAAAACAAAAAAAAAAAAGAAAATAAAGCTTTAGTACATTACCTTCAGTGGAAGCAGCATCAATCATCACTCGTTGCATGAGGACTGGCTCTAATCCAAAGTCAAACACCACAGTTTGGCGGAAAGTCCCAAAGATTTCTGTGTTAAAGGCTATACTGACTTTGTATATATAGTGATCTATTCCATTCTGGACCATCTTCCCTCCTATCCATTCCTGACAGTTCTCTGGGACCTCCTGGGATACCTGGGTAGTGCTGTCTCCAGCAGATATTGCAACGATACTGAAGTGGGGCCGATGGGCATCGTACAGCAATGCCACTCGGTACAGCATCCTGGCAGGCTGCAAAGGAAATGCAAAGGCTGAAACACTGAAATCATTCCAGCAATATCTTCGTTTGCAATCACATCAAAAGGGTTAATAAGAACTATCAGTTCTCAGAGCAGGTACAGGTCCTGCCTGATTTCCAGAAATCTGGGCAGTTGATACATCATCACTGCTAGGAAAAAAGAGGGAGAAGGGATGGTGCTAGGAGGTTTCTCTATTTTAAGGAAGATGCAACTGAAATCTTAATTGCAAAAGGTTATGGGTAGCATTCTAGTTATTAGTAGCTTTCAAAAAATAAGTAGTCCTACCTTACATGTGAGAGCAAATGTCCATGTCTGGTGAGACTTTTTGGTGGTGACAGTGACTGAGAGCTCGGGATTATGTTCTACTCTCACTCCTTCTACACATTCACTAAGCTAGATTTAAAAAAAAGGAAGATAACATTAAACTTCTACAGGCAGTATCAAAACACAAACATTCAGGAAAAGGTAGCATTTTGTTTAATAGAAAGAGGAAAGAATGGCTTCCCAGATTGTGCAGGATTGATGCAAGTCCCACACAGGAATTGATGTAAATATGTGCTAATGCAGAGAGACAAGCTAAATCTGCCAGACCACACTGTGTAAGTGAAGAATAGAACCATTTAGGGACAATTAGCCACAAGACTTGATTTTCAATAAACAACTTAATTGTAAATGTCTAAAGTAGAACAGAATTTCATTTGGTAAAAAGGATCTATGATACAGTGAGGCCCAGAAGATTTCAGATCTCACTGACATCAATGAGACTACTGAGACAACATGAAAAAATAATCAGGCTTTCTATCATCAATGTATTTTGTTAAAGTCCATTTTTCTCAGATTTTAATCAACAATAGATGGACCAAAACTCCTTAGGGTCAGTGCTAAGCAGAGCTGGTCGAATGCTACAAAAAATATTCTTTCTAATTCCAAAGAGCTGCTGACTTTGATTCCATCCATATCCCACACTCCTTGGTAGTCAAACACTTCTGAATATTTGGGGGATTGGCTGCTCTTCATACCAGGGCCTGCAGCTGCAGGCAGAGAAAGGAGCCACACACAAGTAAGAGTATTCCCCTGCTGATTAAGAGTGGGAGTAAGAGTAAGAATTAGAGTAAGAGCAAGGGAGTAAGATTAAGAGTAAGAGAGTAAGAGTGAGTTAGAGAGTAAGAGTTAGAGTAAGAGTTAGAGTTTTAGAGTTTTAGAGTTAGAGTTTTAGAGTAAGAGTTAGAGAATTCCCCACTAAGCTGTGAAACCTTCACTACTTATTCTCCACTTTAGGAAGCTCTGCCATCTAGTCAGGGAACAGGAACACTACCATGAGACTTGCTGACCCATCCTACACTGGGAATAGTGAACATGCAAAGTAAAAGAGCTGTGATTAACCCAAAATTCAGCCTAAGTCTCTTTGCAAGACCCAGGGCAGGATGGAAAGGAGAGCAAATTGGCTGGACAATTTCTTGGGGAGGAGTGATTCAACCAGCTCTGATAGAGCCAAAACCAGGCTCTGTTAGCTTTAACTCTGATCACACAGAGAAGCAGGATATTCTCCTTACCACTTTCTCAGGAGACAAGGAATTCATCCATTTCTCAATGAGGGTTTCCATGTAAGTGCCTGAGCACTGCTTGTTCTCCTTCTGCTGTTTCAGGCGGATCAGGCGGGAAGCGTAGCGCTTCTGCCACTCTGTCAGCTCCTCCTGGGAATGTGCTGAAGTACACTGGGCACCATACCTGCAGATCCCTTGCTCTAAAAATCTACACAAAATAGGAAAAAACATTATTAAAAAAAAAAAATCGCAATTTTACTTGTAAAGCCAGAAGGAGATTTTAAGTTTCTCTCACAGAACTAAAGGCAGTTTAGTCCATGTGAATTACTTTGGAAATATCTTTATATTTATACAGCATTTTCTAAAAGAGGCAGCAGCTTCTCTCATTGCAAAGCCCAATATATATAAATTATATATAAAATATATAAAATTTCTTCTTAGAAATACAGGGGGATGGAAGTCTTAAGAAATTTCCAGCTTTAAAGAAAACAGAATCAAGTGTTTGTACAGCAATTAACACAAGGAGATCACAGAGCATCCCTGAAATGACTAGGCACTCTATTAATATGCACAAAGCCCCCTGTTAATCAAGGGCAAAGGAAAGATGCAGCATAATTTCTTCCAGTGATTCCATTAGTAGCTAATAAATACTCAATCAGAAGTTTTTCCTGGAGCAACAGTGACATCACATGGTCCCTTCTACTAAATACACCTGCACAGAAACCTCCAGGAAAAGGTTTAATGCTCCTCTTTGCAAAGGGTGTATTAGTGTAAAAGGATCTGTTCTTGCACACACTAAGAATTTCTTAAAGAAATACATTTTCCACTTAGTGGCATGTGCTGATGCATTGAATTAATGCTATTCCAAAGGCCTGTATACAATTGAAGCATTCTAGTTCTCAGAATTTACTGCAAGTCTGGGCAAATGCCTGTATAATTTGGGGATTATTTTTATAATTGAACTTTGTATTAAAATTATAAACCACAAGGCAGCAGCTGCATCTCCATCATTCTTTAAAACTGAAGCACTTAAAAAATAGATGACAAAACGAAAATTAAATAGGGGGAGAGATTTAAGCTCTGAAGCTACCAGGAAAGCACTGGTTATACAGAATAAAATTTGGCCAGGACATTGTTTTGTTTGTTTGTTTGTTTTGCAAAAAGAAACTATAAAATTTATGCAAACATCACATTTTTTGATGTGATGTTTGCATAATTTTTTCCACAGTACATATGTTATATAATGCAAATTAAAGTGTGAACTTTGAGCTGTGAGACAAAGCCAAGCCAGCCCTGCCTGTGCCATTGAAAACCTTGCAGTACCTGCACATCTAGGTCACACCTGCATCAGTGGCTCTAATTTGATTTAGCAAAGAAATTTTCCTTTAAGAAATGCACTTGAAAGTTTGCATGCCCAAATTGTAAACAAAATAAACATGATATATAACGTGTCACTAAAGGCCTTCTCAAGCTATGATTCTTAATATAGTTGAAATTAAAATGTTTTTTCTTGGCAGTCAATTTCAGTATTCTTTCTGTCAATTTTCCAATTCCCCACTGCATTAGAATGCTAAAGTACAATTATGAATTCACTTCCTAAAGTAAATGGAGTGCAAGCATAAAAAATTGCTGACCTGTTCTTATAACCTACATAGCAGATTTAAAATCAAGTGAGCTTCCTTTTCATTATTTAACAGGAAAGCATATTACTTTAAAATTTGTCATCATTATTTAAGTTTTCCAAGATCCTATTGTTCATATTTTTAACACTTTTTTTCCCCTCAGTTTTACTTTCTTATTTAATACCTCCTGCAATTCCATAGCTTCATTATCTAGAATAAATATTCTGCACTCCTACTGCTTTATGGCACAGAGGAAAATAAACCAGACCTTCAAAAATTCATATTCATACCTGCAACTGCCTCCTCCTAAGGAACTAAAACCTTCAGTCCCTGCTCAGAATGATGCTGCTCACAGGGAATTGCTGAGCAAGGCACAATCCTTCCTACTGGAAGGGTTAACAGTGAGCCTAAAGCTCATTACAGCTTCAGTGGAAAAATGTTTCAGAGCAATGGTTGGAAACATGGGATAGATGTTACTCAACAAAAGATCACCACAAGCTAAAAATTGTAAATATCTGCTTTTTTTAAATTGCTGAATAAGCACCAGACATGATTAAGAGTCAAGAAGAGTTGCCAAGATTTAGCATCTCTAGAAAATCATGCCAAAAGTAGCTCAAAATCAGCAGTTCAGTCATGCCACTTAAAAAGCAGGCCAGAGCTTTTGAAAATAATTTGCATTAGTTACATAAATGGCAGAACCAAGTGCATAATGATGATTCCTCCCCATATATATTAATACAGTTTTATGGAGAGCAATGACAATTAACAACACAAAGTACAGGCAATATTGACCAGATTATTGGAAAAGACAAGGAGGAACACCAATACAAGCCATTGGATCCTCTCTCTTTATCTGACTTCATGCAAAAGGGAAAATAATGAGATCTGAGGGAAATTCTGGGCTTTTTATCTGAAGACAAAGCCCATCTACCAACAAAGTTCATTTTTCAGAAGGCAGCACTGAAACTTGACTGTGCTTCAGACTGCTTACACTGCTGCTGGGGAACTTTTCACACCTCTGAAATCACCCAAATCAGAAAGGGAAGGGGAGAAAGAGAGATGCTGACCTGCCACTAGAAACATGCCCCTCAAATACAGTACTATGAAAACTGAGTTAGTGATTCCATTCCATAAACTGAAGTGCTGCTGGATAAACTGACCCTTCCAAAAAGCTGTGAACAGGTCAGCTCCTGTTCTAACAAGCACCTCCACTTTCCTGGCCTCTTCACCACTCTGTCAGCAGGTGAATGAAAGAGGAACCATTCTGCTCTCTTGGAGGAGGTGAAGCAAAGAGCTTACCTTT